ACCTTGGATGCCAGCTGCTTCCTCCTTGGTGTCATCTTCCTTGGAGCACCATCAGCAGGCATGTCTTCAATCTGGTTTACAACTTGCAAATCAAGGCAGGTGTTCTTGTGTTCAAACATCCAGGAGTTCAGGGGTTGCATTCTTTGGCAAGCATAGACTTGTAAAGGTTGTATCATACCTTGGAGGTGTTCTTGGGCTTGATGGTGGAATTGTCTCAGATGTGGTGGCACATCTAGGAGATGCCTCTCTGGCTTGTCTTGTGTATCATACCTTGCTGCTTGGCTTGATGGTGGAATTGTATCTAGTGGCACATCTAGGAGATCTCTCTCTTGCTGCCTTTTACTTGCTTGTTGCCTCTCTAGCCACTCTTTCTTTTGTCCTCGGTGTTCCTTGGTCATTGGTGGTTGGTCCTTCTTGGCCTTCTTTCTTCCTAGTCTAGGTGTTGTCTTCTTGGTCCTCTTCCTGTAAAAAAACACCACAATTAGGTTAGTTGTTGCTTATTTATTGAAATAAGATAACAGTTCAGTATTTACCTTTTATTTGTCCCTGTCAGTGCACACCTCTAGCTACCAGTTCTGTGGCCATACTCACCACAGTCAGTATATTTTACCTGCCTAGTTCCTTTTCCAATTCTTTTAGTTGGAGATAGGTACCTGCTCTTCTTCAATCAGCCTGGTAGTTTTTTCTTCTTGGACAGTGGTGGCAACAACTTGAAACCCTTATGAACCTCAGGCCATTGGTTCCTGTCAATGATGTTTAGGATAATACCATGGTAGGCAACCTAAAACTTCCTAACATAGTAGTATTTGTCCACATATAGGTCCATTTGGGGTTGCCTCATAGTGGTGATGACAGCTAGTGCATGTGGGCATGGCTTCCTAGTTACCTGCCATTCTCTACAGGTGCAAATATGCTTTGTAAGATACACAACATGCCTCCTCACTTCTTCATCGTTGTATATCTCTGTGACTTCTGCTTCTTCTGGATGCCCCTTGGTCACTTTGAGGTGGCCTAGACCCTTAGAAGCTGCATTGAGCTAGTGTATGATAGCAGGTAAGGTTCTTCTAGTCAAGGCAGTGGAGATCTTCCTTCTCTTAGCAAAAAGGACCATTGTTTTCTCCCTGATAGTATCAGCCAAACAATGCACAGGCAGATCCTTATGCTTGTTGATCCATGCACTCCAAGACTCAGCTAAATTATTGTTGATATAGTCACATTTGATGTCACTGCTAAATTTGCTCCTGGCCCAGAGTAGGTTATGGTCCTCTTTCAACCAATCAAAGGAGTCATGCTACTTACCAAAAAGCTTGTTGGCTGCTCTCTGTCTGCCATACACTACAGTTGGTAGGGGATCTCAATCTTGTATTTGGTCTGTAGCTCCTCCTTCACTTCCTTTGGACCCATGCTTGGCTTCTTCTTGAGTAGTGGAATAGCCCTCTCTGCCACCCAAGCTTGTGAGGCCATCCTGCCAACCACTATGCTTCTAGAGGCATAATTATGCTGCCCTTCATTTTTTGCACCTACACATGCACAAAACAGCCAAACATAAGTAACCAGACAAACATAACATCCAGACAGTTTTAAATGAAACAAAACAAATCTATAAAAAAATACCCTAACACTCCCATCATGTTGGGTTCTAGCTCTAATAATCCAAAGACATCCAAGAGAAGCACAGTTTCCCCTAAACCTTGATGTATCAGAGTGTGCAGTGTGAAGCTCAAACTCCTTGACAATTGCATGTTGTCTCACAGCTAATCTAAAATCATCCATAGAAGGGTAAGAAACCCCTACAGACATATCTGGATTATCCCTATCCCAATCAAACATTGGCTCCTCACCCACATGATCATCAACTAGTATAGCTGCATCTACCATATCACTCTACATCTCAACTATCATGGTAGGGATAGGCACAACTTCCCTAGCTGCTTCCTCTGCTCTTTCATCTGCTGCATTGAAACCCATTGCCTCATACACTTTGTCCTCATCAGCAACTTCCTTGGCCTCTCCATCCTCATTAGGCTCTGCCAATATAGTCAACTCAGCCCAATCAACCTCTTCTGCTTCTTCCACCGGCACGGATGGAGGTGGAGAGCTGCAGGTGTCACCACTGCCTTAAACATTATTAGGAATAGCACTACCTTCTACATTATCAGGAGTACCACTGCCATGTGCATTACCAGGAGCAGCACTGCCTTGTGCAGAAGTGACACCGGATGCACACCTAACACCAGAGCTAGCATTGGCAGTTTGAGCATGTTTGCTGACTACATCCACTACAAGCACAACTACCCTATCATTCCATCTATCCTTTATTAGCTGCTCAAAATGTTCATCCTCCTAACTTTCCATTCAGATTCACTGTCACTGTCAACCACCCAAACAACCAATATCTGTGAAGGTCCCCAGATTATCTTACTGGCCATTTCATCATGAAATTTAGACAGAGAAAACTACACAGTCCTATCCAGCCATAGTTCATGCTCATGCGGTGAAATTTCTACTTGCCCGTACTCACCATCAGCAACATACTTAGAAACCTTAACAACTAATCTAAAAGCGTTGCCAGGATCAATCCTGACACAATAATGAATAGAAACACAAATCAAACTGTTAGACGGTATCCTACTACATAGCATCTTCCCAATCCGGAATCAAAGCGAGGACGAAGTGCACTGAAGTTTAACTTACCAAATAGGGCAACCACTCCAATCCATTGCGTCTCCAATCTCCACCGCAACAGAAGCCACTACATCAATGGCCTACGAAGCAAGGAAGGTGGACAATTTCACCATCATTTGGTAGGAACCCTAACCTAACCTACAATCCCATCAAAACCAAAGGCAATAAAATGAGCGGGATGGCGACAATGGCGGTCCACATGTATCTTCAATCCATCGAGAAAGCTAGGAGAGGAAGGAGGGAGAGGAAGGCGGCGGCGGGTGGCGGCGGCGCGGAGGGCTACTGGCGAGCGCGGGAAACGAAGAACGAGCGAATGGGCCGGGCGAGGCGACCGAAAAGCGGCCCGTGGGTTAGCAAGCAGAGGGAGGCCACCAGCGGTCATTTTCCACCCCATGCTTCCTCGGATCCCACTGGATGACACTTGTCGTGCGTGCCACGAGTGCAAAAGTGGCAATTCTATATCTCTTCTCTCCGTTGCGTGCCAAAGTCGTATTGCCACCGTTGCGGTGAGATCTCAGGAGATGCCGATCCTTATAATGCTAAAAAGTTAAATCTCCCGTTTGGAGAGGGAGGGCGGCAAAGGAGCAAATGATTTCACGCTAGTTTGGTTTCATTGGGGCGGTGGGGGGGGTTTGTGGGGAGAGACGGTGGAGCCATGAGACTTGGGCGCGTTGGTTGAGAAGTCCATGGCCGTCGCGCGAGGCGAGGGGGATGGACCTGTAGCAGGTGGCTTTGCCGAGATGGGCCGAGTCGCGATTGTATCGACGACCTACACAAATACACGGAATATTCATGTTGGAAATTAGGTAGAGATAACCCATACACATGTTGGTGCCATGATTCGGTGACAAATATTGGGAGTGTTTTCGGGAGAGAGATGGATGGTAGCTTGTATCCATATAGTATAAATAAGGACATTTTTTAATTTTGTGCATAAAAAACAATGGGTTGCAAATTTGCCATCTTGAGGAAGTCATGGGCGGCTCCCTCCCATCCTACAATGAGTAGTAGTAGAATTAACTTGAGAAAGTGTTGAGAAACAAACCAAACATCCTCGATAACTCAAATTGCCGTCCCCGGAGACGTCAAAATAGGTTCATATGTAAGACATGTGCATGCCTATATATTCTTGAGAAATAAAGTTAGAGAATTATAGAGGAATTTCAAAATTGGAGCTCTACCAAACAAGCCCTGATAATCATCACAGGTGAGGGTTTAGAGCCAGCACAGATAAGATGTTGTGCAACAATGCTCTCCCATCCTCCAATGGGCATTAGAACTCTTTTTTTGTGTGTGAATGGGTATTAGAATTCTTATTGGCATGTCAAATATTTGTTTTTGCAATAGTCCAAGGGCGAGCTAACAAGGTGCTGAGATATGAACAAGAAACATCCTCTGAACAACCTCAAACTAGTATCGTCGAACCACGTCAGAATCGGTTTCATGTGAAATGCATGTGCATGCCTATATATAAAAAGGCTATTCTCTTCCTGTGGCCGCGTGAGGACAACATCGTCGACCCCTACCTTCTTCCCATCCGGCTCCCTCCATCATTCCTTGGATTGGAGCCTTGTCATTTCTATCTATGCAAAGGCAGCTTACAAATTTCGCCATCTTGAAAAAAAGTGTCATTGAAGGGCGAGCAAACTAACACGGCCATTGCATTTATCCAATCAATTGATATCTCATTTCGGATATGTGTGCTTCTTTGTCTAGATTCGTGTGGGGGAATTGAGTCGTTTCATGTGAAATTCATGCAAAATTCGGACCAGACCATCCTTAAAGGTAATAAGCATCACATTATTTCTGGTTTCCCATGCTCTTGGATCCACACGTGCAATTTTATTTATAGCCCATCATCCTTTTTTTTTTTCCAATGAATAGGATGTTTGGTTTGAGAAATTAGTTAGTCGATTGTCCTTTCAGTCCTCACTTTTTTTTGTTTGGTTTGTAAAATGAAATTGGGTTGATTATCATCTCCTCATTCTTTACAAGCTAACAATTGGTACGGGTATTAGAAATGGAATGATTCCTCAAACCAGACTCCTCGTTCTATGGTAAATTTGTTAATTCGTAACTATTTCGTACATCCATGGGGATTCAAATGTGCATATCCAAACCGTCTTTGTGATGAACACATATGCCCTAAACATATCCCACTCTTCTAAATATAAGCAGCTAGCGCAAATGATGCGTATATATCTGTTCGTTTCTACAATTCTACACAGGGCAATTCTATAATTGACGCAGATCGAGGTTGGAGGTGACGAGGAGAGGAAGCTAGAGCAGGAAGAGACAGCCAGACAAAGCAAGCAATGGAGGAGAAGAAGAAGGACCTGCTCCGGAAGCTGACGATCGTCTCGATCCCGTTCGTGTTCGTGGCGATACCGTCGGTGGTGATCATCGTGGGCATGCTGTCCCCGCACGCGGCGGAGCCCCGGAATGGGTCGTCGCCGGCGCCGCCGGGGCAGAACCACTCGGTGTCGATGCTGAGCACGATGACGGGGGGCCAGATGATCCTGAGCTGCCGCGCCGCCTTCTCCGGCAACTGGGAGTACTTCCACTACTTCATCCTGGACCCGTACAAGCCGCAGCGGGCGTTCTTCCAGCCGCAGGCCGACCCCTACGTCCTCTTCTGCAAGTGGGGCTACATGGGCAACTTCCTCCAGGACGTCGTCGTCTTCAACAGCTCCGCCGCCTGGGCGCCGCACTGCCGCGTCGACAGCGGCGGCTGCCGCTACCTCTTCCAGGACGGCCACATGTTCCTCGTCACCGGCAAGCACGGCGACGACAGCGAGGCCCACAGGGTGAAGGTGGTGGAGGAGACGACTGAAGAACAGGCGCCTGCACCTGGTCCGGGTCTTGGTCTTGGTCCTGGTCCGAGTCAGGGTCCAGCTCCGGCACCAGCTCCGGCACTAGCCCGGCTCCGTCTCCGGACGCCCATTCGCAGGGGCGGGAGAAGACGCTGATCGGGGACGTGCTGCTCAGGGAGTGCAAGCACGTGCTCGGCTTGTTCCCCACCATGTGCCGGAAAAAGCCGCACAACCACCAGTACGTCGGAAAGATCATCGGCCGGTGGCGGTGGTGGTTCAACTACTAGATAGCTAGCAGATTGCCATCGGCAGCGGCGGCGGCGCGTGCGTGGTGTACGACTGAACCCTTCCGTTGGCGAAGGTGATACACGCATGCATGAAAGATTGCCATCGCATAAATTTCAGGAAAGGAAATGATATAAACACCAAACAAGCTGATAAACACGATGTGTATATACACGTTATGTTTTGAATTCCTGACAAATTAAAAGCAATCAGGAATTCAGTATACCTCTTCCGTTTGTTTTTGAATTCATGACTTGTATAGTATACATTGGCACTGATCGTATCGTATACCCACTACACATATCCATGTATGCTTTACTGGTACAACAAAAAATCCATTGCCGTAGGACAAGGGTCACTGGATCAGATGAGGATGCTGGCCAAGGTTGGTTGACAAGGGCCTGGGAGGTTAGGGACTGGATGAACGTGAACAAGAAACAGATAGAGAACTTGCAGGAGGGATTACACCTACAAGGATGACAGGCAGGGCAGGGTGGTACTACAATGGCGGGTAGAAATACGACGAAAGAGAGAACCCAAGGAAGAGGAGGCCTCCAATGGTGGCGACCGTGCCCTGAGATATCTTGGAGGCCAGCATGCTGCCGCCCACCACCGCGATCGACGTGCAGATGGTGTGCCCCAAGGTCGCTCCTGTAGCAACTCCGACTGCATTTTTGTGGGTCGCCAGCTGCATTGAGTACCGTGCTTCAAGTTCAGTTATGAAGTTGGATGAAGCGACAGCTGGAAACTTCAATTTGAAGAGGGAAACTGAACCGTACCGCTATTGTAGCTATCTGACTTCGGTCACCCCACTCCGCCAAGAAGGTCAACACAAATGACTGAAATCAAAAGTCAATATGTCATATAGAAAGCGAGCAATACACTTGGCACTGCTACAGCATCAGTACTGATATGTATGGTTACCGTTACATTAACTAGTGTTAACAGAAACATGCAATGTCAGAAAGGATTCTACATTCTCTGAAAGCGGGAAAGGATTGCACAAGATTTCACCATCCACCACAAAATCAGAAGTAAATGCATGTTTCAGAGAAAGTGTAAAATGGGGAAGGGAAAGGGAAACCTACCTCCAGGAAAATAGGAGTGCAGAATCTCGAGAAAACACGTCTAAATGTTGACTTCCCTTGGCCTGTTTCCAGCTTTTCCTCTACCTGTATATGTCAAGGAACAAACGGTATTATATAATATAGTCTGAAAAAAAGAGTGCTACAACAGTCACTGACAACCAATGAGCACAGTCGTCTGAACAATGAGTAGCAGTATTAACTCTTGACATCTGAAGTTAAATATCACATTTCAAGCACAAGTATATCCTACTTATGTTGTAAGTTGTAACAGGTCTAATCAAGAATAGTCCATGGTCAGGAAGGCCCCATCAGTTATGGACTCAAAATGTGTTTATGCTATATCTAGCAAAGATGGATGATGCTTAGCATGGAAATGAAAATAAAGTAACAATTCGAGGTAAGAAATTCCACATACTTCTTCTATTTCCTTCTTCTGTGATGCCTTGGAATCTGACCTCCAAGCAATGTACAGGAGCCGTAGACCAAAAAATGCATAGAGGACTGAAGCACAAAACAACAAAAGAGGATATATCAGAATGCACTGCTGCATGCTACAGAACCGATAAAACATCAAGATTGCTACAATATCTTAAGAATCGTAAGATTAAGATTATTCGTGCTCAAATGGTACATATACATCCATAAGACCTTGGAAGACCATTAGTTGCACTAGCAAGAAACAAATGTTCTTTCTTGCTCCCAGTAACCAAAATTTGAATATCTTATGATTACTATCATTGGAAAAGGGAGTAATCTAGCAAATGGTTGCACCCACTAGTTATGTTTATTGGAAGGGAAGAACCTATAATTTGGATTGTTATGCATTTTTGCCCCAACTTTGATGCACTTGGATGCAAGTAAAATTAGGAAAACGCTACTGTGAGAAAACATAAATTTACTTCCATCGCCATCACTACGACGATTTGTAAAAACATCTATGTCTCCACATTTTTATACAAATACTGACTTTGAAGCATATGCATCTAGCATCTGAACTCTGATCTGATTGGATGCAGGTATGTCACATCTAGTGTACCACTTCAGGTACTTGCAGGTCAAATATTCATCAGTATGTGGCGGTTAATATATTTATCAGTGTTTTTGGGACATTTGGAGCCATACTACTCATCTGTTACTTCGATTTGATCCGCCAACCACTAGGATCTCTAAACCTTGGACCACCTTTGTCAATGGTACACAATAAGGTGACACTCAGATAAGCCATACCTGTCGCAGCGCTGTTAGTGTGCTTCCTCGATATCAAATTCGGAACGATTCTGCCGAGTCCAGTAGAAAGTACCTAAGAATCCAACACCACAAAGGCACAGAAGGATCAGTCTCAGTCAGACTAGCAAGTACTAGCAACTTCTTTTTCTTTCCCCAACAGAGCTGCAAAAGCCTCGGAGGAACACATAAACCTACCGTCATAACGACAAGCGCCGACAGTGCGCCCGAGAGAACCGTCGATTTTGGGTGCCGCATCGCCATCAGCGCCGCGATGATGAACGTCTCATCGCCAATCTTCACCCGGACAAGACCCACAGACATTCAGAGACAGGTTACGAAGGCTTGAAGAGCGTATATAGCCCGGCAGAAGGGAAACCCGTGAACACCGGCGCCCGCGGTAGCCTCACCTCGCTGACGACGATCATGGACAAGCTGGCGAAGAAGGCGTCGAAGAGCCCCAGCCCCGTGTCCTGCGCCCCAGCCGCCCGCGCCCCCGCCGTGTGGTGGAGGAACATCTGGGAAGCAGAGCAGACGGGAGGCACAATCAGTGATACAGCAACCCAGTCTCAGACAGTCAGAGCCAAGACACAGACACGGAGCGTGCCCCGCCGGGGCCCGGCGCGCTCACCTTGGTGCGGCGGTCGAGGCGGTCGGCGCCGACGCCAGTGCCATTCCCGGCAGCGCCATTAGCAACCTGACAGCAGAATGCAGGGACCCGGAGCGTGAGACCGTCGGAGCCGAGGCTTGCGGGACGGACGAGGAAACGGGCGAAGCGCGGGGATGTGGTTGGAAATGCTCACCTGGTCGGCAGCGGAGACGGAGAACGCGAGGAGGAGGACAAGGGCGGCGGCAAAGGCGAAGCCGATGCGCCTATGCATCGCAGCGGGGTGGAAAGCGAGGCGAGATCTGCGCATGCCGCAGTCTGGGCGGGGCCGCGGGCGCGGGGGCTGTCGGCGGCGGGACGGGACGGGACGGTGCCGGGATCTCGGAGGAGAGGAGGAAGGGGGGCAGCCAGCCGGGCGACCCGCGTGCGCGTCGGGATGGCCGAGGAGTATTTGTAAGCGAGGGGGGCCCAGCCCAGCCCAACCCAAGGTGGACGCGGACCTGCTGCTGACCCGCGTGGGCGTGGCCGGTGGCCCCCTGCCCGTTCCGCGTTTCCTTCCCGGATCCCGTGCCATTTGCGTCGCTCTCGCGGTCCAGCCTGCCGCCGACGCGCCGACTGCCCACTCTGCTACTCATCCTCCAGTTCTTTCTTTGTGTGCCCACTCTGCCACTCATCCTCCAGTTCTTTCTTTTGTACACAAAATTCAGCCTTGGTTTAGGAACCCGAGAGCTTATTTTCTTTTTGAATTTATGAGATTTTGATGAAATACAGCATCGGTACACAGAAAAATGCCGCCACGCAAAAACCCGACGGACTTGATCGAAAAAACGTGCCAGTACATCTACTTAGTTTCTTTCGGTGCTTCGAGCACTTGAGTTGAGTTGGGATACGCCAACCCCTGCCGAACTTGCTACTCTACGGATTATTTCTTCTTTATTTCTGGGCCACTTTGACGTTTCCGTTAGGTTAGATCTCACGTAACGATGTTGACGCGTGCACACGCGCACACGTGACCAGGCGACGAATCCGGTGATGGTCGCTCCCAAGCTACCGCAACATCGAGAGGGACTTGCTTCGATTTGCGCATTTGGGCACGTGTTTGCTTCTTCTTGGAGTGTGAACTGAATCCCCTCAATTATGCTAGTCCATCTATCCCATGGAAATGGTATTGTTTTAAGAACTTCACCAAGGCAAGTGGGCTTCATCTGTTTGGAAGTTTGGATGGAGTGATACATGGAAGGACTGATGCTGGAGATCTTGAGGAAGGCTGCGAGTTTCAAGGCTGGAATGGACCTTCGGGGTGGTTCTCTAATTTCTGAAGAAGCTTGGTGGTCTGATGAACTTGTAATAGGTGCAGCTTTTCTGTCTGAGAGAAGGATCAGTGGGAGTAGCTTTTTCCCAGGGTGTTGAGTTACCCACAGTAAGTTTGAGTTGATGGTGACAAACTTTTGAGCTGTAAACAGACTTTATAACTGAATTCAAAGACTGGGGATCGGCCCTAATAAAACTCTAAAAAAATTGCATTGGTTTCCCGCACACCAATATCCCAGCAACTGACTTCAATGAATAAGAATACTCTGCTAACAAAGACAGCAAACCAGCTCCAGTTCTTACCGTGTCGGGAGGAATCACATAATTCAACCAAAGAGGTTGTAATGAAAGATACAGTACAGTACAGCGACAGAATTTCCAAATCCATGGATCTAACCAAATCTGTAATCTGAACTTCTGGCAATAATCTCTGAAGTTATACCACAGTGACCTTGTCTTCCAGCAAGCATTATCTGTCAATTATTATAAACACTGGATGGCCATTCAATTTAGGTGCCATGGATGTCACTTAAAAAAGAACAGCAATTATCATATGATCATCTCACCTCGAACACATGGGACTTCACAACACATAATCAGCCTGAACAATAACTGCTGGCATCAACCTCAGTATCGCCGCATACCAATATTGACATGAAAATTTTCCTCTTTAACTGAAGAAAATGACGAGCTAAATATACTCATCGTCACTGGAGAGAACACTCTAAGTAATCATAAAACATGCTCCTGACAACAAAAGGTGGGGGCAGCGACGCAGGGCGTCAAAGAAGAATGTACTTGCAACACGACTCAAACAAAAGACCAGGCTACAACTTATACATCTGTACTCTCTAAGGCCAAGGGTCATCTAGATCAGGCTTCTTGACAAATAACTGATTGTATTCAGGCCGTGACATCTGCAAAATTCATCCAACAATAGGTGTAAGACACGAATTCAAAAATACAAGATAAAAAACAATGTGCAAAATCATAGTGCATTCCTCCATATTGAGGTAACTAAATCACACAAGGACGTGATTTCCTACTGAGCCATGTCAATGTAATAGCTAAGGCCTCGAAATCGAACAATCTGGGTGACCGAACCATGGAAATAAGCGTGACGGTTATATCTACATTCCAAATGCTGTCTTCTACTAAAAAATCATAATTCATATGCCAGAAAGTCCTACCGTGGACAGAAATACTAGCATTCTACCTGTTCTGAAGAAATGAATCCTACCGGCCAAATCAACACTGAAATTTCCTGATTTGTGTAAAGGACAGTATTTGCATTCAGTAAGCACTATAGGTTCTATGATGCCAGCTGATTTCTAAAGAATCACTTCAAGGTAATAGCTAGGTCTCCGAATCAAATTATGAGGATGGCCACATCACATCAATGCATATGAAGTCAAAACTAGTGGTTTCTGCAAAGCCCTCAAACACTTCATAGACTCAGGTGGACCCGCGTGTCATTCACTCAGTGGCAGTCAGTCATGGGGCAGACGTTTCCAATTTCCAATTGTATTTATTTATTAGACATAGTAGAAAGATCTAATATTGATGAAAACGCCAAAACTGTAGCCAATTATCTACACTAGGGGTAATTATAAGCTTTATGGATGAAGAGCATCTTCATTCATTGCATAGCTTCGATGATTTCTGCTGAGTCCTTCAACAATCGGCCACACGATACCAAACGCGTCATGCGTACTCGATCTCATTCCAGCTTAGCCCAAACACTTATATAGTGGAGAGAAAAGCGAGGTTGGTGTGGGTGCTTACGAGGTCCTTGAAGAGGAAGAAGGCGATGAGGAAGAAGAGGACGAAGAAGATCTCGAACTCGGCGAGGCGGACGAAGCGGAACACCCTGTCAACGGCCCTCGTGAGGAGCCCCGGGTCGTCCCCTCTCCTCCCGGCCCCGACCCCGCCCCGCTGCTGCCGCATCTCTCCCGATCGATCGATCGATCGATAGGCGGCGGATTCCTCCTCTGCTACCACCGAATCCGACACGGATCGGCTTCACCGGATCTGCAGCAGTCCGGCAAGAGGGAAGAAGGGCGGAGGTACCGGATCTCCGGCCGTTCAGCGGCGTGGGCTGTGGGAGGGAAGGCCCCGATCGCCAATCGGTCGATCCCTTGTTGGATGCGCGTTGGCGCTGCGATGGTGGAGGCGTGGAGCAGAGCTACTGGGGGGCGGGGCGGCGAGAGAACGGAACCGGGGGCTCCGGCGTCTGGAACCAACAAACCGAGAAGGACAGAAGGTGGTGTGGACCACAGCAAATTGAGCCCGGCCCACAGGTTCGGCCTAAGCCCAGCGGGTTTTAGCCCATCAACGAAACATAGTGGACAGGGCCTGGACACAAATCACGTTGTCCGTAAAAAAATTTCTGTCTGAGCTCAGCCTGAAATATTTATTTTAGTTATTTTACATGGTAATTAGGTAGCGTGTCCGTGCGTTGCTACGGAATAACTAAATTTTTGTACTAAAAACACACGGATCGCACGATAAGATAACAATACTGTAAAATTAAATACGCACGTTAATCCAAAAAACAAAGCTCGTAAAATTAACAGTCACACAGAGCACGACATTGTCTATGATACGCTTAAGATAGTCTTGTGGCTCTACATGCTTAAGATAGTCTTGTGGCTCTACATGAGTTAAAATTATCCTAGAATTCCCGTCTTAAGCCAACAACTGGATTACAAAGTCCATTCGTAGCCTTCGACCATCCTGTGCAAAGTCAGATATAATATTATAGATTGATGACCAATATATTAGGTTTCAGACTAAACTATGGTAGACAGAAATATACAAGACTAAGAGGAATATATTCAAATAAAAAATGCAAAATTAATTTTGTTGGATAGTGAACAGTGTTAGACAAAGGCCTAAAACTAAAGTTACTCTGAAACACAAGACTAAATTGATCATATATAGTTACAAAAATCAGTAATTACAACTATTAGCATGACAGGTCCAGGTACTCAACCTGTTGTTGGATTTTATTCAGATAAACAAGCAGTATGCACCTAACCCTATTTTTTGAATTAATCGTGGAGTTAAACCAGCTGCAAGATGAACCGAAAGAGTTGAATCTTGAAACTGAAAAAATTCAATCACAGGGCAAACATCATGTCAAAAGCTTCAGAAAAAATCCAATAAAATTAAGTTGAGGCGATTGCTTGCTGGGATATGTGTTCTTGACTTCTTGTGTGATATTACATGGCATGGAAAGTCTGCTTCTCTTGCCGGGCTTGTCTTTCTTCTTAACTGATGATAGTTTGGTTACTTCCTACCTACAAAAGTGATTTATTAGGCATCCTGTTATTAGACCAAATGACGAGAGAGACCATCATACCACACCCATACGAGCTTCATGCCAATTTAGGACCAACGCATGGCTTCTATGCTATCTTATCAAAACCATTTTTTGCAATACATAATAAATATATAATACTTATTTGCATCTGAGTTCCTAAGCGCCGGAGGAGGCAAATGATGATGGAAAATCATATGCATACAGATCCAATTCACTATATGACAACTCAAGATGAATGATATGCATAACTTTGGTTCATGGATTGTGTCCTATAATCAATTGTTGTACATATTACCACAAACACACGTGCTACATGTAATGGTTCACGGATCTGGGTCACTATTACTCTCGTCTGCATCACACATCAGGTCATTTGTAGGTACATTTATTAGTAATTACAGGCATATAATCGATCGTAAGATGGTCTATGATGACACCTATTTTGAATGGTAGGAACATAATTTTGAAATTCTTAGTAATAAATTCATAATAGTGAATAGGGTGTGCTAACCTCATTACGTGCCTCAATACCTTTAGGATTATCATCACGGAAAAAAAAAACGCAGACCGAACCAAATAAAATGTGAAATTGTTACATCGCTCTAGAATAGGATATTAGTTTAAGTGGCATAAGCTTAGATAATGGTATTGAAAAATCTAACAAGATGTTCAAGTACATTGTTGAGCAGAGATGACATTGCCACCGACATCCTTGGGACTGAAATCTCCTTCTTGGAGCCAAAGATTGCCTTTGGCCCATGCCATGTCGGCCCAAGACATATGCATTGTCTACATGACCATGCGAGATCAAGACACTGATGATGCACAAGCGTGCCAATATACTAATCGTAATAGAAAAGATATCTCTTCTTCTAATCAATGGGTTATCATCATGTGGAGTTTCCGAATTTGGCCATACACGGATCGTTGCTATCATTTCCCTTAATCACAAAGACCATTTCATTTTTTTTCACTCCTGCCTTTGTTGTGTTCATTATTCAACGCCTTGAGTTCGATCGTATGAGTGTTTCCATTCTATGAAAAAGAGGAGGATGTTGAGTGTGTTACCTTTTGGTATGCGCACTAGATGACATAATCCCAGATTGTCATAATCCTTCTTTCATTTGGTTCTCCATCCAACATCGCCAAAACTTCAATTGTCATCCAATTCCCCCACGGTTTGACCATACACCCAATTTAGAAAATACATCTAAGACTGAGAAAAATTACTGATGAAATGCTAAAAGCACAGAACTTGACAGAGGCGGATGACAGGAAAGCAAGAGAACTCACTGAATTCATCTTCCAGGAGGTAATTGAAGGTGTTGAAGGTGTGACCGTCGGTGGCCACCGCCAAGGGAGTGTTGCCGCCACTAGGGAAGCGCAGCTGCCCGCACCGCTCTACCCAAAGTGCCGCCACCACCCAAACGTCTGCCTCTGAGACATCAGCGCCGCATCCACGCGCCGCAACCACAAACCATTCTCGTCATCACACCCATGCCCACCGCGCCGCACGCACCCAAATGACCTCAACCCTGACCACCGTCGGGAGCCCAAGATGCCCGAGTTTCTGGTTTTTGCATGGGCATGCAATGATGGCCGGGTGGACGACCGCGGAGGACGCACACACCATGGCTCTAGTAAGGAATGGGGAAGCGATAGCATGATTTTAGGCAATCTTGGGACGCGAAGATTGCGCAATGTTTGGAGCGGCCTTGTTCACGTTGGCTTTGACTTCCTTTGCGTGGAGGGGGCAGACAGGGTTCGCAGGGTTTGCAAGGGAGGTGCGCGCATGA